TATGTATGTATGTCAAAGGTATGTGTATCTGGGGAAACATACATACCCGGAAAATGATAGGTATGTATGTATGTCTGGGTTCGTAGTGCCTCCGCTGATCTGCCTAGGCCTCGCCTTCATGAGGTTGGTGAAGTTCCCGAAGCCCGAGGACAGCTCGTCGATGCGCGAGACAGCGATGCGCGAGCGGCCCTTGTAGAGGTAAGACCTGCCACCGAGAAACGTCGTGCCCACCACGCCGACAGCGGGGCTACCCAGGCCAGGAAACTAACAACATCCAACAGACGGGTGTTTCTTTCTCTCTCTCTCTCTGGCGGGCATGACTCGTGGAGTCGTCTCACCCCTTTGTATGTGCATGTTTATGCCCCCCGTCAGATGTTGATTTGAGGGACGTTCCCTTGACCGGTCAAGCTGTCAAAGTCAAAGTTGCGCTGCATCCTCCAGTCAGTTCAAGAGCCACTGGGACCTTACTCAAGCAATATTCCCTCATTATCCGTCATTCTGGTTCCATACCTGAGCATCCGATAAAGCCTTCATGAGCCTGCTCTCGTCTGCTCGTCTTGTGGTGCGTTTTGGAAAGGATTTGTAATCCACGCTGAGGCTCAACAGCGCGGAGCGCGGGCGCTGTTGAAACAGCTCAACAGACCCGGCCTCAAGGCCTCCCGCATGCGGAAGCTGTCGTCCACAATCAAGCGCCGGGCGATGTAAGGGAAGCACTCCTTGCGTTGGTTCCATAGATAAGTCATTCATTCAAATGCGAATTCCTTCTCACCAAATCCCCCCCGCCTTGACAATGGCAAAATTCTCGTCAGATTTCAGGCCCAAGCCTACGGCAATGTCGCGAGCTGGCTGAGCCATGCAAGGCCGGACCGCACCGCATGGATCACAAGTCTGTCATACCTTCCTGCCCCACCCGTATAACCCTGGTGGACCTTCGTGTTGATTCACGCTCCTAGACCAGACAGGTACGCAAAAAATGTTCAATCCAGACGTCGGGCTACTTGAGTTCTTCCGCCCATGCGGGTTCTGCCTTCCAGTGTTGAGAAGGCGCGGAGGATCAGAGTAAAGTAGGGCGGGAGGCGGAAAGCTCCTGTAGTTCTTGCTTGCGAAGAGACACCCAAGCAGGGTCTCGGGAGGCATTACTGGTCCTGACGCGCTAGCTTCCATTATTAATGTGTGGGAGCGATCTACATGATGTTGTTCATTTCCCTGGCCACATGGCACACGAATCTGACAAAGCCATCCCTTAGTCATCCCCGCCTACCACTTCAATGCCAAGTCACTATGGCAGCGCTGCTTCCAAGAAGTCATCGCCAAATCAACCCCGCAAGCTAATCTCAACCAATGGCATCCCGATAGCTTGACATATATAAGGGCTTGTCAAACCCCAAAGGCTGCAAAACGATCAGGGTGTTCATGTATTCTTGCTCTTGCCTTTCTTTGCAGTCTTTCTTGACGGAAAAGGCTGGCCGGCTTACATCTAGGTTTTCTAGGTGCTCGGGAGTATGGCTACGAAACCTGTTGTCAGATATGCCTTTCCATACGGACTGTGCAGCGAGCGTCAAACGGTTCCTCAGCAGAGCGAAGGGCCTCACCAATCTGGCCGGCGTCGCTCAAACGCGTCGCGGGCTCCTGGGTTTCCAGGGCTTGCAGAGACCTGTAGAGGTCTTCACAGGCCGATGTCCCACAAAATCAACCATCACCTCACCAGCACTCTCCAGCCTCCCAGGGCTAAACGGAAACTTCAAAGAATCAACCAAAGTGAAGACCTTCAGGTGCTCCAACGAAATCTTGCTGTAGTTTGAATCGTAGCCCAGGCGGCTACAAATCAATCGGGGCAGCTGCCTGAAAGCTTGACAATCACCAGCAAACGTCGTCTGCAACCACGGATCATGCTAAAATTTGAGCATTGGGGTGAGATTAAACAGCCACCAAGATGAACACAACAAAAATCAGCATACAACTCCAAAAGCGAAACTCTTCCCACCCCAAACGCAGAAGACTCAAGCTGCGAGCACCGCTCGTAGAGCGCTCCAAAAACAGAAGGGCCGAATTCTTTACTTTCGGTGATTTCATCCAACTGCTCAGACTGCAGCAGCTCAGGGCTTCAGCAGATTCCGCCAGTCTCGCCAGGGTTCAAGCAGCAAACTCCTCACCAGTTTCCTCTCGCATCATTCCCCCGAATGCAGTGATGTTGCGTAGTGAACCACGCATGCCTGAACCTGGTGCCCAAGTATCTGGCAGGAACCTCCAGTGTGCGAACACTTTCACTTTCGCCCTCAACCGAACCTCTACGCTCACTCATTGTCAAAAGCGGGAGAAGCTGCGCGTTAATGGACTTAATCTCAACTGCAAAAAACACTGCCTGATCAATCTTGCAAAACGCAACTCCCGAAGCTCCTGCCTTGACCTGTGCAAATGGGATCTGCTGAACCTCGTGAGTACTATCGTGAAAGCCTTTTGGCAGAGCTAGAAGCTCAGGATCAAGCGCGGCCTCACACGAAACAGCCGGAGCCTTCTTCTTCTTCTTTTTCTTCTTCTTCTTCTCAATCTTACGACTGTCATCAAGTCTGGCTCCAATTCCTCCCAACGGACCCACATGTACGGCTTCGGCAAGGATGAGCCCAAGCTTAATGCCTGCCACTGATATCGCGTCTTAAACAAAAATTGTGGACAGCACCCTGCATGCGCTCAGTCACCTGGTCGGCCGGGACACCCTTAGCTTGCAGAAGCTCACCTAGCACTGAATGAAGCTGATCTGAAAGGCATGCCTTGTCCACCACCTTTGGTGAGGTGAGAGTCACGCCCCCGCCTCGTCAGCATCCGTGAATGAGGACCGCACAAACGCCTGCCCATATGCAGTATAATGCAACTGCCCCGCATATCCATCCTGTTGACAACAACAGCGCCCATCAAGTCTTGAAGATCTTTCCGCACCCACTGTCCAGCAATGTCCCCAGCTTTCAGCCACGCAGACGCCGCTCTTGGTCCAAAGAAGCAGACATTCTTGTCGAGATTCTGCTTCAAAATGCTTTGAGCCTCACAACTCGCCACAATCTCGTCAAGACCAAGGGAAGGAGCATCATGGCATTGTTTGCGCCAAGATTGCAGCTGTTGATTGTCCAGCACGAGGTTTCCCCCCTCTTCCATGATGGTCCCACTCAGGCAAAACTTCACATTTCCAGAGATTATGACATCATATGACATCCCACGCAACAGTCAACTGTGACGTCATGTCACAAACCACAAACTGCACAACGTCAATCCAAACTTTTGCCGCAAAAGAGAAAAGGAAAGAGTAAACGGGTGATTTCACAAAGAGTTCATCTCCATTGCGTGTGAAAGTCAGTAGTCACTTGCGCATCAGTTTCCTGCATCTCATACCGGAGGTCAGTGCACACTCCTACATAGTCCTTGGCCTTGAGAAAATCAGTGTCATTTAAGCTGTACGCCTTGGTGAAAAGGGATGAGCACCTCAGTGCGATCGACCTTGGCTTCAGCCTGCGGAGGAGAGCCTGCATCAAATCGAAACGCCACACATGCGCAACCCTCAGTTCTGTCATGCGGAGGACAATGGTATGCTTGCCAGCACAAAACCAGCGTAGCTGCAAGGTCTCCCATTGGGAAATCATCAGAGCCCGACTCCTGGGCATTTTTGCCGAAAATTCCGGAGCTCCAACGCTGTCCAAAGACTCTTGAAATGGAGAGGCTAACTGAACAAGTAGTGATAGAGCACCCTTGAGATCGGAACCATACTGATACGCGCCCACCACTTCAACAAGCGCCCCTACTTCACATGGGCGGCTAAGGCCCTGACTCGGCCAGCTGCTAACAACTTCGACGCCAAACAGACCATCCGACCTGAGTCTTGCACAGCTCAGTGGGCCAGACCTACACCCACATGGACACGCTTGCAACTGGGAGCCCAGCAAATGCGGCACACAGGGTGCTGTTTTTTACAAGCCTACGGTTGACTTTACCAAACTGTGGATCTTTCACGGCTGTCCACTCGAGCTTGGCTTCCTCAGTTGGACCCATTGGGGGGCGTCACCCAGAACCATCTAGCGTAGCCTCGGCTCTGCGTGCGTTCAACAGTGACACGAAAGTCCAGGCTCTCTCGTCTTGGAAGTGACGCTCATCACCCAGCCGAGAGAACAGCTGGCAGTCCGCGCGCATGTTTGGTGAAGGGCAGCAGTCTCACCACACCTGACTGGGAAGTCCACACATTGTTGGCCAAGACACATACTGCTAGCGGACTCTTGTCACAGGCTGCCACCCCAGAAATGTGCTAGTTCAGCCCCTGCCAGCCCACCTCCCATTCCCGAGCGCGCACTAATCACATTCATCACATTCTGCAATCCATCCAACTTACAACTTATAACGATGGTCGTTGCAAGCCAAGCGCCTTCCAAGCCACTTTGCAAAAAAAGATGCCTGACTCTGGTCTACCCCTGTAAGAATCCAGTTGTAGACCGTAACAGAAGACGATCACACCCCTGAGCAAAAACCTTCTGTCTCCACCCTCCTTCACCGCTAGCCCCTGCAAAATCCAAAGGACAGAGCACCAACGTTTCTCACTCTGTCTGGAGCAAGCCAGCCATCGTCAACCCAGCTCATGGCTCCAACACTCGAGCGCTCGGCGGGCCCTGCGGATGGCTCGAGCCCCGACAGTGCACTTCCCTCTTGAGTTGCTTGAGCGCTTTGCGCGCTGCAAACCACCGCCCTTCCAAAGAAGGAGCGTCCTATACCAGTTCCAGCTTGGTCTCCACAACCTCTCCCAGGGCGTTGAACTCGCGCACGAAGATCTTTTGCTGCTTGAAAGCGTCAGCAGCCTCGAAAGAGCGGCAATTCCAAAAGTTGCATTAGCCAGTCAGAGGCATCTCCTTGGCACGTTGGGCATTGAGGCCGCCGCCGCCCTCTTGACGCACTGCTCCGGGATCTTGTCTATGAAGGCTGGAACCAACTCCTTGGAGTTCTCCAGGAGGTTGAAGGCGTTCAAGGCACTCGCCTCACTCGTCGTGTTGGCCACACGCGTTCGATCAATCGGACGAACTTCTCGGGCACCGCTGCCACCTGGCCGGCCAGGGCCACCGACAAAAAGAGAATCCTGTGGCTAGCAAGAATCGCACATTCCCATCCGCGCTGGTCAGCTGCACGCCACGGCCGGTCTGCGGCACTCTGCGCGCATCTTGGCCAGCGGCAATCATCCGATGAGCAGCCAGCTGATTCGGCGGATCCATAGGAGCAGGACTGAAACCTGTCGCCGTGCTGTGATCCGCTGCACACGCTAACTCGTCGGCCAACTAGCTTCACAGCTTTTTTTCCCCGCAGAATTCAAGGGGTGAAGCAAAGGGAAGCAAAGTGAGACAAAGTGGCCGACGTCGGGTGGTCGGTGTGCAACCTACCGCCCCGGCAGGCGGGAATTGGGAGGGTGTTCCTCCTACCGCGCATCATCGGCGAGGATGGCGTGGAGCGGAGGCAGATCGCCATCTAGGAACTCCTCGAAGGAATGAGGGAGTTCCAGCAGGCTCGCCGCGAGAGCGCGCTGGGAAGTGACAGCGAGAATGCCAGCCCACCGGTGGAGGTAGGCGGCAGCCGACGCCTGCCGCAGACGGGCCGGATGGCCGCGGGCACGGACTTGGGCCAGCTGCCGGAGGAATGCCGTTGCTTCCCCACCCCAGACGACGAGATGGCAGCGCCGGGAACTCTGGAATTCCGGGTTTTTGCTTGCAAAGCTTGAGCCAGACCTTTGTATAACTAGTGCTTCAGCATTCTGTGGATCCACTTCTATTATTCTACTTTGGACGAGGACCAGCCGAGCCCATTCGCCCTATTGATGCCCCCCGCTGCTCCAGCATACTTCTTGGAGATGGCTTGGAGCCTTGGCACATGTTAGAAAGGGAACTCAAATAACGATGAATAACAAATAATAATTCAACAATGCGGTTTGAAACTTCATCCAGCAAGGCGCTTTTCCCGGAGGCCATCCAACTTCCCGGCTTCTTTCATTTCCTCTCGCTGCTTGGCAAACATCTCGCGCTTCTTCTTCAGATCGCCACCCTCCTGAAGAGTCATGTTCGTGTCTTTGAGTCAAGTCACTTCATCCAGGGTGAATGGATCAGAAGTATATGGACAGTCCACAGCTATTCTCTCCGGCCTTCCCCAGCCGCTGGGGGAGACCCATGGAGCATGAAAAAACATCGAACCCGTAACCCTTACCCTTCTGAACGTCCAAAAGCACCAAAAACACCGTTTAGCCAACGAAGACGACGGAGAGTTCCACCTCTTGGGGCCCGGGCCTCGTAGAGCGTTGCCAGGGTGGTGGCCAAGGTGGGCACGATGATGTCCAGCGCCTCCTTGTCTTCTTTCAAGGCCTCAGGCAGCGCCTCCCTAAACATCCCGAGAGCGTATACGTCCCCAAGACGAAAAAAAGAAATGCATCCTTGACAGCCTTGGCCAACTGGAGTTTTCAAGCCCCAAGTTACCCACTGTCCACGTGCAATACACTCCAGGTGAGCATGCAAACATCATAGGAATCATAGGTTTGTTAGGATTTGAAGGCCAAGACCAACACTGCCCTTTCTCTTCCCCTGTTTGTTGCTCCATACTCCCACGGCAAGTCTTGTGAGTCACCTCGCCTAGGGTGGCAAAAGTCAGTGCATCTAACCCTAGCAGGTACAGGAGCACCTGGTGGCCAATTGTTGCCGACATATCCAGACTCGTTCCTGAAGCAACGATCACATGCTGAAGCGGCCGGAGGGAAGAACTCCAGGTTGATCAAGTCTGTTAAGCAGCTCTTGTACTCTTTGGCTTGCCTCACTTGTGAGAACCCTGCGACCATGCCTTCCACATGCGTTACCTCCACGGCTGTAGGCAATGAAATATGAAACAGGTAAAGGCAAAGGTAAAGCATCCTGCTAGGCATTTTGTGCATCTGCAGATGACACTTGAAGGTCATGCAACATGGTATCAAAACCTTGTAACTCCATATATCTTTCTAGATTCTAGCAAGGTGAGTTCCAGTTCCACTGTTACACCCCGAGGATGGAAAGCCCCTTCTGCAAACGCAAATTAGCCTCACCACCCCTCTTCCAGCTCATGGGATGGCTTCAATCCTCAAACAATCGCCCTGGGCATCTGGCAGGTGCATCAGAAACTCGATGAAGGACATCCGCTTGTCCGCAGTGATTTCCGTCATCAGGCCATAATCCAAGATCCCTAGGCGGCCATCTCCTCCACGAGTTCAGGACAAGCTGGCTGAACGGTGTGGTTTCTCAGGGCAGGAGTGTTTCCAAGTCAATCAAGCTCCACAGAAAGTTGACGACAAAACCAGCAAAACATGCGGACATGTGGCGATGTTACTTGATCTGAACCAGTGCTTTTGCTGCGCAACCTCTCCAACCACAACGGTTGTGCCAAGGTTCCCATGAGGATAAAATTGCCAGGATGTGGATCACCATGCAAATACCTTCCAGGATCTTCCAGGCAACACTCTTTTTCCAACGTTGAATGCCAAGATTTCACTGGCAACGCCAGGGCCTTCAAACAAAAAGCATTGTCGCCCAAACAAGGTCGGACGGCAAAAGGGTTTTGAAATGCCTTTGGGATACTTTAAGATATATATATATAATATGTTCAACCTCCAGCCTCATCCAGAAACTCCTTACATGCACTGCACGAGATCGTTTTCAGCATCTCGGTGACCCCATGGTGTCCGGGGCAGCCCTGTCCGGTCGAGCAGCCCTGTCTCCAAGAACTGGACCATGTAACTGTTCAGCAGGAGCCTGGGATCCACCGAGTCGAGTGCCGAGTGCCGTCTCCATTCGTCGTCCCAGTGGCTGGTCATCTGACGGTTTGTTCCTCGTTACGACGGACTGAAACCCACCATTGGTGTACGGCCCAAACTGCACCAGAATCTGGAGATGAGATTGCGGGGTACGGTGTGCATGAAGCCTGCACGGATGTTGGACTGGAACATGGAACATCGATTTTGGCCTTTTGGAAGCCACATCAAGAAATGCCGAAGTAGTCCAAAGGCAGGATGGCGTACCACAGCAACAGCCGCAAGAACTGCATAGTTACTAGTTGGACCATGTTGGACCTAGGCAACGGTTTTGCTTTCTGGGCCAATTGTTTGGAGGACATTTAGCTGTACCAAAGTCCAGAAGCTTAACAACTCGTCCAGCTTGTTCCTGCGCAGCTCCTGGCTCCGTGAGCTTCTTTCCATCCAGCCATTCCTGCCAAAGCACTACCCGTCACTACCCAGTGTTAGTCTGTAAGCGTATGGCGTTGCAGCTTCTGTCTGTCTGTCTGTCTGTCTGTGTCTAAGCATCCTGTCTAACTTGATGAAACACATCAGTAAGTCATCCAAACATACAACTGTAAGGATGTGACAGAAAATCCATCGCTCTCAACAGGGGACACCAAAAAAAGAACCAAAGGGCAAACACTCGTCATTGGACCCCCAGTATATGAGGGCAGCCCCCATCCCCTCTTCGCCCTCACCGCAGCCTGGACCAAGACCTCACCTGATGTCGACCACCGGGTCCGAACTGTGGCACACAAAGCGAGCTTGACTCAGGGACCCCTAAATTCACCAACCGGACCAATGTGAAAAAAACCATGTCCGAAAGACCACACAAACGCTTCTTTTTTGAACCACTACACATGCACAGCATCCTAGCTTCCCCTAGCTTCGGGGATTCTCCGTCACCTACAGTAAGCGAGGCCACTTGAGACATACAAGCCATGAGATGCTTCCCCGCTTCCCTGACCAAAATTGGTGTCTCAGCCGTACCAGTTCTGAGACCCGCACGGTTGGCGAAGAGGATCTCGGGCACCACGATGGTGTCGCGGATCAGGTCGCAGGACTGCGTCCGTCGTGCGCGACTCGTCCGTGTCTTTTTTCGGGGTTGCATCCGAAAGAGCAGCCGATCCCCATCTGGCCCGATGATGATTGATTCGTCCATCGAGTAGTAGCCTGTCCATCAGGCCATCCCAAAGTTGCTTCACTTCGTCCCTTTTGACCCCGGAGGCGCACGGTCGATGACTCGTCGACTTCCCACACGGCGCACACCTCCACGGTCTCGGCAAAGCGACGCTGGTGGGAGGCCTCGATCTCATAGTCCAGCTCCTGATTCGGTTGGAGGCCATCGCTCTTAGGTTCCTTTTGCTAGTAGGTTGGAGGTGCGTGGAGAGCCGCAAAGGGCCGGTGACCGAAGCACGGCACCGGTGACGAGCACCGGTGACGATGCCACCAGTTGACCCAGGATGACTGGAAAATGAAGTGTATGGACCGAAGCGTGGTGTCGGATGCAACGAGATATGATACATCGATGATCACCCAGCTTCTTTGGTAGAGCTTTGGCACCATGCGCCTAAGAACATGAGGATGAGCATGGGTGAATTCTTCATCTCGCAGTGACTTCAAGAAATGGTATGTTTTTCTCGCACGATTCCGTGGGTTCTTCGGTTCTTCATCCCTTCCCCAAGGTCCTTCACGAAGGTTGGAGCTGTTAAGTCAATCAGCTCCTGCACTTCACTGCCAAGGTGTCACACTTTCGTTGGGACCAAGCACTCGTGCACCAATCTCAGCACGGTATCCGTGGCGTTCGTCAACTTCAAAGCGCTCAAACACCAAAGGGTGGTCCAAACAATCTCTACCGGCTCCTGTTTCTGACGATCTCTGGGCCTTTGGAGTCCAACATCTACTCACAGTGTCGTACTGAGGCACATTGGGCCTTCTGAACCCTCGTGATGCGTCACCCGGCTCCATGAGCTGCTTCGATTGTCTTTGGAGCTGATCAAAGGGCAGCATGGCGCCCAAAGCAGCGGCAGTGCGGATCACATACCTTGCTGCTGTTTTTGCATGCTCAACATCGAAAAAGGTATTTGTATTATTTTGTATGTATGTCCTTTCTGTTCCTTTCTTGATTTTTTATGTTCTTGTCTTGTCTTTTCTGTATATCTGCCTGTCTGTATTTCTTTTCTTTCTGTCGTTTCGTTCTTTCTTTCTGTCTTTCTGTCTTTCTGCCTTTCTGTATGTATTTTCTTTCTGTCGTTTCTTTCTTTTGTTCTTTCTTTCGTTCGTTCGTTCTTTCTTTCTGTCTTTCCTTCTTGTTTTCTTTTTTCTGTTCTGTATGTTCTTTATTTTCTTTATTTTGTTTCTGTTATGTCTTTTCTTTTTTTCTGTCTTTTCTGTTTTTCTTTCTTTTTTTATTTCTTCCTTTCCTTTCCTTTCCTTTCCTTTCCTTTCTTTTCTTTTTTCTTTTCTTTTCTTTTCTTTTTTGTCTGTTCTTTTCTTTTCTTTTTTTGTCTGTTCTTTTCTTTTCTTTCTTTCTGTCTTTCTGCCTTTCTCTTTGTATCTCTCTCTCCCTCTCTCTCGCTCGCTCTTTCTTTCTTCTCTCTCTCTCTCTGAATCTCTAGTACATTTCCATCAATATCATCGGTCAAGAAGCTTTTTCAACGGAACAGTGTGCAGGTGATCAAGTTAGTCCAACAACATCCACGTCCAAAATGTATCCATCGAGCGGTATCTTCATCCAGCGAGGCACAAGTCCAGAGTAGATTGCTCTCGGACATCTGGTCGTTGCACCTTCACGGCAACAGTTTTACCTTGGCTGACTCAGCGCTTTGGAGCACCTGTCTCTGACCTCGTTTTCAATCCATCTTTGCTCTGAAATCTTGACATTAACAGGTGGACGAGGACGTCAGTCTAGAAATCAGCTGCGTGGCCGTGTGCCACAAAGAGGGTGGGTGCCACGCTGAAACAGCCAAATCAATCCAAATCAACCTTTATTTTTTGAAGCGGGGCATCCAGGGGCTTTGCCCTACAGTCAAATCAACTTATTGCCACAATCAATCGCAACCCGCACTGTCATGTGGCCAAGAGACCATTCATGGTCGCTTTGTACACTTGGCCTTGGCTGAGAGTCGCATCGAGACGAGACACCCCCTCTCCGACCAGAGTTGTGCTGAAACCTTTTGGAAACCCTGGTGCAGTTCAAGAAACTGAGACCCATTGCATCTCCCGCAGCCTGCATTGTCACTCCTCACCTTGAGGTGACTTAAAATCTTAAAAATCTCTCACCACTCCCAGGATGTTGAATTGTCTTGCCGGAGTCTTCCCCACACCGCCAGTGCAAGTGTCCTCCCTGTAAACCCTATTTCGGCCACGGCACCCACCGACGCGGAGGCCACCGGCGCGTCGAAGACGCTCAGGTCCTGGAAGAGCTCGACCGCCGGGCGCCCGGAGTCGCCCCGGCGCAACGTCTCCTTGGCGTTAGGCGAGGAGGGCGGAAAGCGTCGTGTCTTGGAGGATGGGATGAAGGCAGTGTGCATTGCGGGGCAGTGGGCAGGAGAATTCGTGAAGAAAACGGTGGTTGGGCTCTGCTCTGTTTAGAGGAGCGGGCTCTGCGGGGCGAGTGCGAAGCTGTGTCAAGCGGAGCTCTGCGCATCGCTCACCAAAACAAATTAGAAATGGCGTCTCCAAACTCATTCTACAGGGAGCCCATTTTCTAGGACATCGGATTGAGCTGGCTGTTCGATGACCCCTTCTTCGTTCCAGTGATCATGGCGGGCGTCCAAGGCTAGATCTTTGCCGAAAGGACGCACCTGTTCCAAGAGCTTCTCGTACTCCTCAAGCAGGAGCATCTTGGCATAAGGCTATTGGCTGAACTGGCAGACATCCATGTTGCTGCGAATAAGGATAATCATCCAGAGAACCATTGCTACACCGGCACCACTGTCCGAAAGTGCGAATGTAAGACCATCCCACAATATAGATGTCGTCTCTCTCTCTCTCTCTCTTGCTTGCTCTCTTCTTCCCTGTCCTTGAGATACTCCTTGGGCAAAATGTCCGGCCTGCTCTCAGGTCTTTCATCTACCAAATTTCAGGGCAGCATAGGTAAGCTTGCAGCAAACTCTTGTCATGCCCACCTAGGATAGTCTCCCAACAGGATAGGAACCCGATTCTGGAAAACTCCTGTACGACACATCTGGCAACGGTGCGCTGGAGCCCCGCTCCAGCGGCCCGAGGCGCCTCGAGGCCCAGACCTGGGCGATCTTGATGAAGGTCACACCTCGGCCAGAGTGGCCGGGCACACAGACAGGTGCCGACGATCGTCCAAGAAAAATGACATGAAACCTGGAAGGACGTCAACAGCGACTTGAGACCAGCTGAAACATGCCCCCGCAAGACCATCTTAGGCTCTAGACTCTAGACTCTAAGTCTCTAAGACTCAACACAGTCTACGCTCAAAGCGTTTTCAGGAGTGACATGTCCATGTTATCCTGACTCCCAACTCGACCCTCCGATCCCAACTCTCGAGCCTAAGTCTGTGATGAGCTCGCGTGCCTCCACAGCTCTCTGCGGGCCTTTGGACGTGACGATGTCCCCGTCAAACGGGTTTCGTGTTGGACGTCTGATGCCCAAAGTGGCAGCGAACTACGACGGCGGCCATATATTCCCTGAGCCAAGAAGCGCATCTCATCAGAGCGTTCCAAAAGCTCGTCCAACTTCATCTGGAAGGTGTAACCTCCCACCTTCAACCCCGCTTCGATGAACCTGGCAAGGAGAGAGCTTGTGGGGATTTTCTGAGCGCGCGCTCGCTCTCTTTGTCTCTCTCTCAGGGAGAGAGAGAGAGAGCGAGAGCATCGTGCCCGGAAGGGGCCTGGCCTGGTCAGCAACTGCAAGGGCCTTCGTTGCCAGTAAGTGCGGATGCGCCCAAAGTCCTCAGCAAAGGAGTGTGCAACATGGCAGCTAGCAGGGTCCACAAGAAGCTGGCCCCTAAGAATTCACAGAGCCTTGAGAAAAAACAACTCACTTCTTGAAGAGCTGACTTCGACTTGATCAGCTGAAACCTGGCTTCCAAGGAATTGATCATCTTACTTCAGTCTCACTGCAGACCTATGGCCTGCCTTGAACTGGCTAAGGAATTTGCCAACCAAAACCCACAACCCAGGCTGTGTGTCACCCCCCGAGGCACATCCATGCACCCACTCCGGCAGCCGTGCCACGTATTCCCGGGGCAGCTCATCCAGCCAGGGCTGCGGGCCACGGCGTAACGCCAACAGTGCCACCAGAGCAGCACCAAGACCTCACCGAAAGTCGATGTGATTGTGTTGGAATGGGAAGAACCCAGACCTGCTAAAAGGCCATAAAGAAAGGTCCAGGTGGTTGGGACCCGATCTTCACATGCGACACAAGCTTACAAATCTATCATGCGTACACTGTGCTTTATGTCTCCAAGGGCACCATCTAAATCCAAACTATGACGTACACAAGATTGACAGAAGTCCAGGAAGGGAAAAAGTGCGTCCGACGTTTGAAGAAGCTTGGTCTCAATCATCTGCTTCGGTCTTCCTTTGGGGTTTCGCAGGCTTCTCCCTTCCAACGCATCGCCGCGGTTCCGCGGCCTGCAGGGAGCTTCACCGGATCCAGCACCTCCGGATGGGCAAGCAAGGTGGCGAGCTCGGGCGGCAGGTACGTGGCCAAGGCTTTGAGGTTTTGGCTTTCGAGAAGGGCCTCCACCTTCACGGAGAGCTCCTGGAAGGGAAAAAGGATGATTTTCATGGGTCCAAATTGGAGGGGTCAGTTTTCTTACTTGAGCAATTTGTGGCTTCCTGCGTCCACGTGGGGAGTCTCAAGAAATGTTGGGACTCTTGCGGATGCCGATGCCCCACTGCCCCGCTTCCCCACACCGAATTCTTGCCCTGGCAAACCCCCACCCGCACTCCGGTCGACTGCTCCTTGAGGGCCACCTTCGCCTCCACTGGCAGCGGCAGGTCCGGCACCTTGGGCAGCATCTTCTCTGCTGCCTTGGCCACCTGCGTGGCTTGGCGTTCCACGTCGCCCAGCACCTTCTCGGGATGTTGGGCCCAGCGCGTGGCCGTCTGCTCGAGATCCTTGGCCAACTTCTCGACGTTCAAGCCAGTAAGGCCCAAACCTGGTCAGCTGACAGGTGACAAGAAGAACGTCAAGCCGCCCCCTTCCCCCTTTTGCCTGTGTCTGTGAACCACAAAACAGCCACCCGAGCCTTCCTCCACATCTGCCACTTCTGGCACCTCCACACGCATCTTCACCACCTGCCGCTGGACGCTCTTCCGTGCCCGTCTCCGGCCCACCGCGTGCCCGGCCGCCAGCGCGCCCACGGCGAGGCCGGCGCCCAACGCAGCACGGCCCACAGAAAGCGCGCCGGCGCTCGGCAGGCGCTCGGCGGGTCCAGAGTGGCTGCCGGAGCTTGGCACCGTGACAGCGCCACGCAGGCCGCTGTGGGGCACCACGAAGGATTGGTCCTCCATGCTTGGGAAAATGGAGGCACCTGAGCGAAGTGGTTAGATGCCATGAGCAGTGGAGCGCATCCAAATTTGGTCCCTCGCCCGGCCCAACACCCAACCTGCAACCCACTCTGATCAAACGGCCCTGCCTCTGGGATACCGCCAGTGAAGGAGAAGCCAGAACTAGTGAGCAAAGCTGCGGGAAGCAAACGAAGCTGATGTTGATAATCACTTGACGTCGGCACACATACGTTGGAAAAACCTTGACATGATGCCGTGAGGTATGGCAACCTCCTACCAATTGACATCTATGCCACCGCGCCACCTATTGTAATTCATTGTAATTCTCTCTCTCTCTCTCTCTCGCTCTGGTAGGCCGATGTTGCTCTAGGCTTGGTGTGCCAGCGAACACGGATCCACTGAACTAAGCAAGTCTTTCGGTGTTGACGTTGGTGGGGATTGATGGACCACGAGCCGTGTGATCATCTACTGGCTCGTCGCACCTGCACGTGGAGGCTTCTGCCAGATGAGGTCCAGCAGCTCTCAAGCAAACGAAAGCTACACTGGAAACTAAAAGGGATGTCAGCTGTGTTGGGTATAAGTAGAGCTTCCTCTGCATGTCTTGATGGCTTCGCGCCCGCGATGCGACGATACCTAGTAACTCTTGCAAGCCAAAACGCTGTGGAGGACGACCGCACGGTTGCTTCAGCTGGACTGGCAAGACAGCAGAAGGAAGGGAAGAAAATGAAAGGAAAGAAAAGAAATGGAAAGGGAAGGAAGGAAGAACGGAGCCGCTACCAAATTCCAGGCTTCAGATTGCAGCTTCGGACAACTCAAAGCGAACCATCCCTCTGCGACGCAGAGGCACTGAACGGCCGTCCGTTCAGTGCCGTCCTTCACCTTTAAAAACAGGCCCGTCAGGCACATCAAGAGAAGGAAGTCAGAAAAGAGTTCAGACGGCTCAATCATGTTCAAACCAGCTGCTTGCCGCATCTTGCTGCATGAGCATCTCTATAAGTTTTAGTTTCAGGCTTAGCAGCGGAACCTTTTCTTCCCGATCTTTGGCGGAGTTTTTGGAACCAGCTACGCTGACGGTTGGCTTGCAATGCGGGCCTCCCAATGCAAAAAATTAACCCCGGACAGGCGCACAGTTTGCCGATGCCGATGCCGCGAGAATGCAGTCATGCCAAAATGCGGGAAAGGCCTCCACAACCGAAGCCCTCTGAGATTTTGTCAATCAAATGAGAACTACCCCCTGAGAACATCAACGTCCATATTCTCAGATCTACCATACACTCCAAGCTACGTTCCAGGACCGTCTTGAGTCTTGCGGTTTGGCCTATCTGCTGGGCTCAAAGTGAGCAAAGGTGTCCCTCTCCTTGGCACCGGCATAAACCGCTTCCAGGCCCGACCATAGTAGCAGGATGTAGCTACAGCAAGTTCTACATTCTATACCCTGGAGCCTGACAAGCTGGATTTGATTGTTTGATGGAATACCTCTCATCCAAACAATCCAAACCAAGGCCACAGCTGCGCCCAAAGTCTGGAAGCCTCAAGGCATCTCAAGGCAAACATAGCCAGCACATGCCAGCACCAGCAACATGAACCTGGACGAAGCATCAAAGCTTGGCAGGTTAAGCCAAAGCTTCTACAGAGAACTTCCATCTTTCGCAATCCACCCCAAACAGGCCTCTTCAACAGAGCATTCAGCTCTCTGTAGCCTCGAAAAAAGGCCTCCCATCACATCTACGGTTATAAAAAACTTTCATATGGTAAGGCCAGAATCCGTGATTAAAAAAAAGTCCCCAAAAAAAAAGTCAACTGGAAAAGTCAAAGTCAAAAAAAAATCAAATTGAAAAGTCAAAAAAGATTCGAAAAAAAGTCAAAAAAAGTCAACCATAGACCACAGCTCGAAAAAGTAAACAAAAAGTGTAAAAAAAGTCAAAGCTCGCCTTGGCGGATTAGTGGAGTCAAGAAAAGTCAAAAAAAATGTCGAAAATAATCTAAAAAAGTCGAAAAAAATGTCAAAAAAAAAAATCAACAACAAAAAAATCGGACAAAAAAAGTCGAAAACATGTCGAAAAAGGTCGGATCTCGGCAAATTGACTTTTTTTGACTTTCTGAAATTTGCTGATTTGACTTTTTTTTGACTTTTGGGATTGACATGTTTTTACTGTTTTAAATTTAGAAAACAGGCTCTTTCCAATGAAAGTTTTTTATGAATCTACGGCCTGCCACGGCCTGTACATAGGGCCCCCAGCCGCCAGGGGCACCCGAATCCAAAAATCTGGGAGGCTCCTTCCCGGTGTATTGGGACAGCATCCTTGGAACATGCAGTGGTCGACTTCCTATACACAGCTGTGATCCACCTTTAGTTGGAGTATGACTAGGTGGGTAAGGGTAAAAGGAGTCAAATTGATGTGGTTACGCAAACTGCTCTGCGTGCACTGGGCTTGGAGGAGAGTTCTGGCCTAAAGTCAATGCATAGGATTGTGGATATGGTTTGGAACTAGCCTTGGCGCCCGGCTGCGTGGCATATTTCACCCCGTCCATGACCAGGGAAGGATAGTTCATCCAAAAGCCCACGTGAGGAATCAAGTGGATACCTCCACTCAGAAATCGGCTTCAGAACTTCAGGCTTGAAGCTGGGGGTGCATGGCTTTCGTCTGGCAAACTTCATGATGAAAAGGAGCTGAGGTGCCTCTGGCACCTTGCATCTGATAGTTGTAGATGGCTCCACCTTGGTGATCCATGCATTCTCTGCATGTACTGACTGAAGAGACAGCCCACCACCGACACCTTGTACGGTACACTGCCCCGAATGAACTCGGTCAAAGGTATTCAAAGGTAACAAATGGATCCCATCGCATCTTGGAGGAGGCCTCACATGTCCATTGACTAACGACAGTGGCACTGCGCAAAGCCCAGCACAAACCAGATAAACGATGGCCACTTCGATGATGCCTCGAAGCCTGGGATCCGCCCGCTCACACGTCGCACAAGGTCGTGCTGGATGCATCTGAGGGATGTGGAGTCAAAACTCATGTAGAACATGAAGTGACACCTACAACCTACAACGGTTCGAACGGGCAGTGAGAGGAATCTCAACCATCCCTGCCTACAAAACCCCCTTTCGGGCACGCAGGGGAAAGTTTCAAGGGCCTAAGGCCTTTGGTCAGGTTGAGTGGAAAACAAAACCATATTCCTGTCAGACATTCTGAGAAGAATCATTGGGCATCAATGATTCTGCGCGTGGGCCACATGCTACTACTCCATGTTGTTTATAGCTTCAACTGTTCGAAGGTAAACAACTTACAAAACACCTTACTGATCTAATGGGCATGGGCACTCACACACTCCCGTTTCACACACTTCTTCCCCAATACTCTGCTCATGTCTCTGCCATCAATGATCCCAACACCCCAGGCGATTCGTCCACCATGTTGGGTGGGCCGGCAGTCCGCTGGCGGCTCCGTAGTGGTCAATGTGCTCGACATTCCAAACCTCAGAGGGTGGCGGCCGAAATCATTTCCAAGCCTGTCAAATCTAAATCAGTAGAAGAGGGGATGCCATTCCCTTCTACGGATTTACGGATGTATTTAATATGTGTATGTATATATATATATATATATGTGTGTATATATATATAATTATGTATGTATGTATGTATGTATGTATTTTTTTTTCCTAGAGGTTGGTTGGTGCACGAAGCCGTGTTGGCTGGTTGGCTACGCCTCAGTGAGCGGCACACCTCAGAAGTAGTCCACAATCATGTGGCCCCCAGTGTCCTCATCGGTGTCTTCACGGCTGTCATCAAGCTGCGTGGAGAAGTGCAACCGTCTCGGTGTGGGGCCCGATGTGCTGCCGCCTGGGTTGTTGGCCTGTGGTGGAGGCAAAATGCCTTCTTCTGGTGTGCTGGTAGCCTGCGTGTGACTGTCAGTGTCTGGAGTGCCCCCGCCGTTGGGCTCCCCTTTGAAGCAGCCACCGAGAGGCGGGGATGTTTTTATTCCAGCTCCCTTGCAAGGCCGGAGGAGAGCTTGTGTGGAGATGACTCTTTTCTCGCCATCAAGGTTGGTCTGGGCGCCACATTGAGTGCATCGAAGACGGTCCCCTTTCTGCCAAAGTGCGTGGCTGTGGTGCCCTGGATGTTGACCAGTGTAGGCTTGGTCTACGCATGGGCTGGCAATGAAGAGTTGAAATGCTTCTTCATTGACTCGTTTGTGGATGTTGAGGCCGCACTTCAGGCATTTGAGATAGCCGGCGGTTTCTCCATATTGATGCTCCTGGGGGCTCGGAGGTGTCTGATGCTGCTGTGCGAGCAGGTCCTTGATGACCTGTGCCCGCGTGGTCTTCTTGATGTATGTATGTATGTATGTATGTATGTATGTATGTATGTATTTTTTCTTCTAAAGGTTAGCTTAGTGCGCCGTTTGGTTGTGTGGCCTGCATGCTCTTGCTGATAGGGCTGGTCAAGGCATGTCCCTTGAACAAAGGTTTGGAAAGTCTGTTCATTGCTTCTCTTGTGCACGTTTGTGCCACAGCGTACACACTTAAGGTACCCTGCCGTCTCTTCCAGGTAATGTTGTCCTGGCGGTGGTTTGGTGGTCTCCTGCTGCTGTAGTAGCTGTTTGATGACCTGTGTTCTGGTCAACTTCTTGGGCATTGCTTGGTGCGGCTTCTCTGGCGTTGGTAGTTGTGCTTCAACACTGAGTTGCGGGCACTCTTCAGCAAGGCATTCTTCAAGGACTGGCACCGTCAAGGCCTGATGGACCCTTAGGCCGCACGCCCCGCATTGGTGACCACTGCGATGGGGTGCCCACCTGTGGAAAGGTGCTTGCCAAAGTTTGCTGCAGGTGGCAATGAGCTGCTTTTTGTATTGCTTAGTATGCCTGCTTTGGTGTCTGTCCGGCTTTTGGTGAATGTAGTGGTCTTTGTCTTTGAAGATCTTTTCCAGGCGATTGATGGCATGGGTGTAGATGAGCATGTGGTCATCATCGAGTACCTTCTGCCACTCGGTGGCTTTGGGGTCCTGGTACTGCTTTGCTCGCTCCCAAGCAGCTAGTGCAGCATCACGTTGTCGGCGCCGAAGTTGTGGCTCACTGCCTGGGGCCTCAGGTGATCTGGTGTTGCGGGCCACATACAGGACCTTGATTCGCTGGAAATCCTGCTCAGTAAGGTGCTCAAGTTGGTCTTGATATGGTCCTCGGTGTCGTGCCTGTGTCCAGGCTTCCCACACAGTGACAAGTTGAACAATGACTCGCACAGTGGTGGTGGTGTGTTTGGCCAGGGCAACGAGGCCTTCCATCAAGGCTCTAGCTTTGGTGTGCGGAGGTGCTGGCGCGCCAGTGATTGCTCCAAGTCTTTGGAGTTGCCCCAACGTCATTTGATGCACACACAAGCCAAAAATCCATAGTTGATCCCTCTGGTCATAGCTCGATGGCGTGGCATCCAGAGTGAAAGCCCATCCTTGATGTTGATGTGGTGCAAGAGGTTGCAGCGTCTGCCATGCACCATGTCCATGATATGGCTGTTGGATCGATTGATGTGCTTGAGGTTCGAGTGGGATCCAACCCGCAGTCCATAGTGGTGTTTCATCATCACACAAAATTCGGTCAGCCCACTCAGGTGGCATGGGTTCCTGCTGTTGGTTGTGATGCCACTTGCACAACCAGAGAATGTGCTTCGTGGTGGCCGGGACCTGGCAAATGGGACATTTCTTGGGCTTGCCATCTGCTTTGTAATGAATAGCCGCCTGGGTCCATGTGCGTAGATGAGGTTTTTGGGCTCCAGGAATGCTTTTGAGCATCTGTCGATATGTGTGCCAGTCCAAGCCTGCAACCAGATGTTGGTGCTGTTCTTTAGCTGCCAACCTTGCTGTTCGTTGTGCTCTGGCTTCATAGAGCAAAATGCGTTCCAGTTTCCACCATGGGTCTTGCAAAGTGAGTGCAGCTTCAACCAGGTAAGGTCCGCTAGGCCTATACCATCTGTGAAGATCTTGGACTTGCCATTGCCATTCCATCATGTAGGCAATTGCCGCTGCCATCGGGCCTTTCACCACATACCACGGATGCTGTTTCTGGCTGAGCTGTTGAACTGTCTCCGTCCAGGCCTGTTCAAGGTGCTGGGTTTGATCCGGTGGCCAGCTGTGGAGAAGGGTATGGAATGCTTTGATGTGGTGCAAAATGACCTGATCGCCCGGATCCATATACTTGGTGCTGTGGAGATCATAGGTGCTGTCAAGCAGGCCGCCAGCATGATGGCCTAGATGGGTTGCCAGAGCTTGGCGGAGGGCAGTGCGGTACCTTGGAGCAAGGCCCTGAGCTTCTATGCCCCAGAGTGCGACCGGCTGAATGCCACCTTTGTGCAGCCTCATTCTGATTCTCAGGGCTGGGATCTTCAGAGTCCTCAATTTTTGTCGTCTTTGTTTCGCTTTCTGAAAGCGTTGACGAAGAACTGGAATTCTTCTCCTGCGGGCTGCCTGATGATCAATCCCCAAATCTCTCATAACCGTGGAGATCGGTGGCTCGTGCTCCTGCAGCAGGCCTTTGAGCGCATGCTCGGTCTCACGATCTGTGGCCACAAAGGCCGTCTTCTTGGGGTTGACTTTCAAGCCCAGGGTTGTCAGCCTGTGATGTAGGTCTCTGTAGGCTGCAACAGCTTGCGTGGCCACCTGTGTTGCGGTGGTGCCCTTGAGATCGAAGCCAACATCATCAACCCAGCTGGAGAGATGTGCATTGGGATGTTGTTCCTTCCATGGAATGAGGGCAGGTGCAAGTACTGCCTTCGCCAGGAGTGGTGCTTGTGGGCACCCAGCCGGCACTCCATTGTCGACGTGAAAGAAGGGCGTCATCTCCTGCTCAGCCAGAATGGCTTTTGGTCCACAGTAGACTTGCATGGCGAGCTCCAGCAGGAGTGGTGGGTAGTCCAACTTTATGGCTTCTTCCTGCAAACTGGCCAAGTGGATCGTGTCATAGAAAGTTGACATGTCCATGAGCACAGTGATGCCATGATGATTTCGTGCCTTGGTAACTTCTTGGCGCAGGAGCCGTTGGAGTGCAACATGAAGGACATTTGCACCAGGGCGAGCCTTGTCGTGCTGCATGGTGTCAGGAAGTTGTTGTTGCCATTGATCCAGCAGTGGTTTCCGTAGCCTGCACCATACCCGCCACAAAGTTGATGTAAGCGTGATAGGCCGCTCTAACTTCTGATTTTTTGGTAGCATAACTACCAGGTGCATTTGGAGCTGGGTGGGGAGCTCAGCCGTGCTTTCCATGGTCTGGTAGAGCTGGAGCAGCGGTGTCAGGGCCAGTGGAGGGATGCTTTTGAGCATCTGGGTGGACACAGCGTCCGGTCCACTGGCTCGATCTGGGAGTGCCTTCAAAACACGGTGGAGCATGCCTTGCGTCAATGGCTCTAAAGTGGCTGCCTGCTGTTGGGCTGCAGGTTGTAGGCTGGGCCTCGGGGTGGGATGATTGTCTTGTCGGATCATCCAGAGGCCGCCCCAGTCAGCAAGTCGTTGGTCCATTCGTTGAGGCATTGGCGTGAGTCTGTAAGGCCTTTCCCATGCCAACTCGCTGCTTTTGAGGCTTCTAAAGAGTCCCTTGAGCCCTTTGCGGTAACCCTCCTGCAACCATTGCTTGTACTGGAGTGAGGTCTCCTCATGGGCCTGCTGTTGTGCTTCTTGCAGCTGATGACTGATGGTTTGGAGCAGGAGTTCGGCGGCATGAGGATCTCTATATCGATGCCAATGATGACTCGCATCGAGAAACTGCCCCCATGTTGGTGCCCCCACCCAGTGCCTATGAGCATGGCGAATGCGCCGCATGAAACCTTGGACAGTGCCAAACGGAGGACAGCTTTGAGTTGTTCCCAGTAAGCTGGGCGGCCCTTTCGCCAAGTGTGTGGCTTGGTCTGTGGTACAAGCGGCTTGGTGACCACTTGCAATTGGTAACCACGGCCTTGGGCAGCCCAAGGGTTTTCTTGGAGCAAGTATTGCTCTGTCTTGGAAAGCCAGTCCGCCCAATGTTGTGCTGGCCTGTTGGGTGGATTGCCATAAAGTTCCACCACATGTGCCTGGGATTGGTATGTGGTCCAGGGTCTGAAGTCTATGTCAGGCACCTTTGGCAACGGCGGGAAATAGGGCATCTGCCTGTATTCTCTGGTGGCAGCCTCTATGTCAAACTTGAGCTGGAGGAGCGCATGTGGTCTCCACGGAACTGACCATTCAGTGAGAAGGGTGGTGGTTCCCGCCAGAGTATTGTGGAGGATGGCATAATCAATGGTGTTTCCAGACAAGACACTGTGGTCAGGCGCCAAGATGCCGAAGTGGAACTTGGAGGAGAGAACAGTTCCTGCCATGGCGCTCGGTGGATTCTGCCAATCTCCAATGCACACAAAAGGGTGGGCTGTGTGAGTGAGCAGAGCCAGCAGCCGACTCATGATGGCCGCATTGGTCTCACTTTGAAGTGTTTCTCCTGTTCTCATGTAGAGCCCAATGACCAGGATTGTGCATTCCGTGGCTTGTGAAAGGAAACTTTGAAATCCGCACCCATGAATGGTGTATGCCTCAAACTGAGTGACCCCACAGGCAGCGTCTGCAACAACCAGTAAGCCTCCATGTGTGCCCGTGTTCTCTTTGTTGAGGCCAGCCGGTGTGCCAAAAGCAAGTCGTCCTCTGACAGTGAGGTATTGACAGGTTTCCCAATGCTTTTGGGGATCCAAATGGGTCTCCGCAAAGATGTAAATGCCAGTATCTCGCGTCCAATACCATTCCAGCACTTGGCGCCCAAAATTGGTGACATTGCTGAAGTACAGAACGTTGTGGTCCTGCTCCAGTCGTGCCCTCTTGACAGGACTTGGGTGTGGTGGTGGCTCATAGTCTGGCTCTTCAGGTGGCGGTAGGCCATGGAGCACCTGCTGAGGAGTTTTGAAGCAATCCATGTTCACCGCCCAGACCTGTGTGATTTGGCTGGCCAGACTGGGTGTCAGGTTTGGCAAGTGAGTTGGGACCTTGCCATCATCAGCAATCCACATGAGGTCTCTATAGACAAGAATCGCGAAGTAGTGGCCTTGCTGATGTGTTTGACCTCGATGACAGATGAGGACTGCTGGAACAAACTCCGTGGATGAGCGAGAGAAACCATCCAGGGACCGGGGCATGGTAAAGGTGCCATATGGATTGAACGGCTTCTGGTGCTTTGTCATCACCCATCAATGCACGTGTTTCGGGTCACATGACAGATCAGGACCTTTTTGTCATCCAGCAAATACTGTCCCATGCCTTGGTTTGCCCAATTATTGATGAGCTGCTGAAAGGTCACATCATCAGGCCAGTCATCGGGGTAGGGAACCAAGATGGGCTGTTGGACATGGTCTGTTAGGTATCCGCCTTCCTTGATTTCTGCAAAGCGATAGTGGAACGCTCTGCTCTGGGAGAGCAGCCACAAAGAGTTGACAAAGTGGCTCGCATCTCCTTGCACATTGAGGTCGTGCTTTTTCCAGAGCTCACGAAGTCCTGGAAGGGTCGTGATGTCCACCTGTTCAGCTGTGTCAATGGATTCCTGCACAGCTTCTTGAAGTGTGCCCCAAGGTTGAGTGCTCGATTCCTGGAGAAGAGCACAGATCCATGTGAAGCCGCGCCATGGTGCATTGGCAAAGCACCGGACACTCGGATTTCCCACCACCATAGTGAGATTCTGCAAAATGCAGTCGGTTGCTGTGGCATAGTTCTGCATGCCAGCTGATTTGAGAGTTGGACTGTCAGAAGTGTCGGCAGTGGTCGCCGCCCCTCCTAGAATGGAGAGGATGGGAGTGCCATGGGCCGTCTCTGCAGTGGGCTCATCAAGCAGTGTTGAAACTTGTCTGTGAGCTGCAAAACTGAAAAGTTGCTCACGTACACCATGAAATGAATGATCCCCATCATTTGTGGTGTGGAGCTCCCCTGAGGGTTGTGAGTCAGCTTTAGGATGTGCTTGATCCCTTGCACATATGAAAGCTGGTGTCCCCTGATGCTTTTGTGAGCCTGAAGCAGCGCGGCAATCCCTTTGTGGTGTTGCTGACGCGTCATCAAACTGAAGTGCATCATCTAGAAAGGAAGTTTCTTGAAAAAGTTGCCCCTTGTAAGGACTGTCAGGTCCTTCACATGACATGATGTCATCGTCCGGCACCGGAACAATCCACCCCTGAAAGTGCAAACCGGTGGTGTTACCCACAATGTCCTGGTGGCACAGTCTGCTTGCCATCGGTTTTGCGTCGCTTCAAGGAGTCTTCAGTCTCCTGGTTGGGCCTCTTGAGGAGGCCGTGAAGCTGAGTCTTCTGCTCTTCGGTCAAAGAGATGCCCAAACTATGGACAAAGGATTCGACAGCCATTGGAATCTGTTCAGCTTCTCCTTGGGCCGTCGGCAATTGAGAAGGCGTTGGGGTCTGGTTGACCGCTTTCATGTAGTCATCCGAAAGGGTCTTCAGTGCCTGCTGGCCTTCTGTGAGCTTCGTTTGTAGCTCCTGCATGTCTGTCAGTAGCGCTGCATACTGTGCTTTGACATTGTCAATCTTGGCCTGGAGTTGAGTCTTTCTCATGGAGAGATTTTTGAGCTCAGTCACTCTGCCTTTGAGTTTAGCAGCAATCTCACGTTCTGTGCAAGGCTCTGGTGTGGTCAGTTTAGTGACCAGGTCTTGGACTTGTTGAGGTAGAGCCTCCATGTGCGACTTGAGGACATCTTTGAGCTCAGGTTCATCTGGCTTGGTTGGACCAATGCCTATGGCTTGTAGTCGATGCTGGGTATCCTCAGTCAGGGTGGTCCACGTGGCTGCCAACAAGTCAGTGGCTTCCTGCTGGACCCTGGAGATTTTGAGCGGCTTGACTTTAGCGAGACCCGGCGGAGCGTCTGGCCAAGAGCCCTGTGCCTTGGAGAGCTTTCCTGTAGGCCTTCCATACCCTTTGCCTTTGCCTGTGGGCGGACTTGCTGCCATCCACATCGTGCCACATCGTCTGCACCTGGTTCCCGGGTACATCTTGTCCTGCCAAATCCAGTTAGAGCAAGTACTCTTAGTGCAAACCTTATAGGTGCGGCACCAGGTTGGGGTCATTGTGCCTGAAAGGCTGGAACTGAGGCCAGGGCAAAGGACAGGATGAAGGGTGAAGTTCAGGGCACCGATCACGATCAGGCCAGGAACGTTCTGTGTCAAGAAGGGATTGCTAGCAAAGTGGTAGTTGATCTTGTCCTGAAAGAGGTTGGAGTTCTGGGCGAGAGCTGCCAGCCACCAAAGAGCTCTACAGGAACGGCCACGGAGAGGTCGGAAATTGAGAGCAAAGAATGTGTGGTAGTTCGAGAAATCGAGAAACAAGGTGAGGAGGTACTCTTTGCTATGTTCGCAAGGGGCTTTCCGCACTGGCAGGGCTTTGTGGGATGCCTGCTTGATCTCAAATGGCTTGAGCCATGTATGTATGTATGTATGTATGTATGTATGTATGTCGCTTTCCTTCATGTCTTGGGTTTCCAAATGTCTTGGGGCTTGCTGACACTGGCTTGCTAAGAGTGCATCCTCCCGCTCCTCGCGCCTGTTTCTGCCAGGGCCCAGGCCACGGACTCGGCTTCACGCTCCCAGCCGGCCGGTCCCGACAACATGTTGTTGCTAAAAAGCTTCCTCGGTCAGGCGGAAACATGCTGGCACTGCAACGCAAGCAGTGCAACACTTGCCCGTGCTTGGCGCGCTTTCCCAGAGCATGCCGGACTACTGTGGCAGCTGGTTCATTTCACTTGGACTTCAAAGAATGCACAAGATGAAAAATGTGGCAGGACGCGAGAACCTGCGTGGCACATGAAATCCCTCAAAGGACACGCGAACTCTTGTGAATCAAGCCCATCAAGGCGCAGGCAAATCAGAGGAGACTTCAGCACCCAAACCGGCAGGTTTCGACGAATGGTGCGTGAGCAAGGTCTCCTTGGGCGGCGTAACGACGATCATGTTAATCGGCAGCCAGATCTGGGGTGATGTGCCAAAGGGTTGAGGAGAGTGTTTCTTTGTATTTCTTTGTATTGAGTTTGGACTAAGGATGATTGAACAAAAGTTTCAGGCTTGGAGAAACTGCTTGGGCGTCCGAGCCAGTTTGTTCCAGGCGCCTCGCTGTTGATCCTGTCGGGGCCCGGATGAGAAGGTACATGGAGCAACCGAAAACGACTCCCACAAGTCGCGAGGATCAAAAATATCATCCCACAAGTCACAAATCTGTCCAATTTGCTTATATAGATTGACTGAAATCGACGGGAATCAGCTGCTGGTTTTTGCCATGAGCCAGTGGGGATCCTGGGAGGTCCTATGGAAGTGCTCAATTCGTCCAGGGCTACATCATACATCTCCAAAAGCAAGGACATCACAAGAGCCAAGCTGAATCAAAGAGCCAATAGCTTGTTGGTTTCGCCCGATCCTGCTGGGTGGGGCGTGTGCCCTAACCTCTTGGCATAGTCCTACGCCCGACACACCTTCCCCAAGCTCAGGGCCCGCACCGTGAGGCTGTTTGGGCTGGAAGCAGCCGCCAACATCTCCTGGCCACGCTACGGTGGTGGGTCACCTGACTGTGCCCTGAATCAGGGATACAAAAACCTACTCAAGCATTCCTGGCATCAGCCAGCTCCTGCGAGCTCTTGCAAGCAAATGGGAAAATTGCAAACTTTCACATCAGAACAAGTAGCGCCCGACCTTCACAGTCACCACATCTGCATCTCCATCGGAGATCGAGTAACGCCTAGAATCCGGTGTGAGCTGTGACAGGTGACAAACAGACGCGGGCGGCCAGCGTCTAGAGGAAAAGACCCGCCTTTTCAAGCTCTGCAGGGCTGAGTACGCCTTGGCAATCTGGAAGCCCTTGCTCCTCAGGAGAATTTGGAGTCACAGTTTGCTACAGAGCTTGAGATGCGCGTGAATCGCAGTGAATTCCTGGCGCGTTTACACTTGCATCGTTCGGATCCGGATCTCCTTACACAAGACAAACGTGTGATACAACTTTATTTTTCTCCCAGGCAGAGCTTCTCGGCTGTTTCTTGGCATTTGAGGAAACGACTGCC